TGTTGAAGTGTATGTTTGGTACCAATAGTGGGTACTCAAATGTTAATTGCAGTCAGCATCATTATTATTCTCATTGCATAAGGAAGTTGAGGGAATTCCTGTATGAAATTTTCTTCCTGAAGTAGAAAGCAGATGCTCTTTGCTTATAAATCTGTCTCTACTCTTCACTATTAGACTGAGCTCCTTGAAGGCAGGGCCCATATGTTTTTATTTTTATGTTATCGTCAGAGTATCCTGGCACAAAGTAGAATATAATGGAAAAAATGCTAGAGTCCTACGTGGGTTTGATTCCCAACTCTACTACTTACTTGAGTGTAAGATCTGGGACAATTTGCTTAATTGTACTGCTTCCACTTCCTCATCAGTGAAATAGAGATAATAACACCTGCTTTTTAGGGTCTAGTGAGGGTAAAGATTGCTTAGTACATTGTCAGTACTATGAAGCCACTTGACAGACTTCTGGCTTTTGGTTCATTGTGTTACTTTTATGAATGACTTTGTTCTCCTTGGTCTTCTTACCTCTGTGGCAATTTGGAATATGTACTATCTCCTACTCCTGACACCCTAACCAAACATCTCACATTTTAAAGCTATTTTCAGTTCTTGCCTTTCCAACTACTTCATTCCTAGATGAGTTTTTAAAATATCTAAATAAGTGAAACTGAGTGAGAGGAAGGTCTTTTAACGGTGTCATATCCTCATCAATATTTCTGCATTATTGTAAGCGGTTATGAGCTTGTAATTTTTTTTGCTTTTTTGATATACATATTAGAGCTGTAAATGGCCTCTAAGCATGACTTTAACTTATCCCACAGGTTTTGATATATAGCATCTTAATTTTCTGTTTTAATATTTTCTAATTTCCAATTTGACTTCATTGATTTATGGGCCATTTCAATAGAGGATTATTTACAATTTTCCAATACATGATAGTTTTCTATTTATCTTTTTGTTATTTATTTTTACCTTATTTGAACTGTTATTGCTGAATTTTCTCTGATTTCAGTCTTTTGTAATTTGTTGACTTGCCTTCCTGTAAATTTTTGCAAATGTTTTTATATGTACCGTAAAAGAAAATGTGTTCTGGAGTTTTGGGTTCCATTATTCTGTCTGTACTCTTTAGGTTGTTTGTTAATTATGTTCATATCTTTTATATCTTTACTTGTTTTTGTGTTTTGCTTATTCAAACTGAAACAGATCTGTATTAAAATTTATAGCATAATTGTAGATGACATTTATGCCTTATACATTTAAAAAATTTTAGTTTATTTTTAATTAACAAATAATTGGATATAGTTATGGGGTACAGTGTGATGTTTTGATACATGTTCACATTGTGGAACAATCAAAGGTAGTTAATAATCTATCACCTTGGCCAGGCATGGTGGCTCACATGCACATTGGGAGGCTGAGGCAGGTAGATTACATGAGGTCAGGAGCTAGAGACCAGCCTGACCAATGTGGTGAAACCCCTTCTGTAGTAAAAATACAAAAATTAGCTGGCCATGGTGGTATTCGTCTGAAATCCTAGCTATTCAGGAGGCTGAGGCAGAAGAATCACTCAAACCCGGGAGGCAGAGGTTGCAGTGAGCCGAGATTGCGCCACTACACTCCAGCCCAAGTAATAGAGTGAGACTCTGTCTCTAAATAAACACACACGCACACACACCCCTACCCACCAATGCCCCCCACCATCTCAAATACTTATGAAATGTCCCCTTTTGGCTGTACTAATGATTTTGCACCAAGTGTACCTTAAGCTCTATCAGCTTTCTTTTGGTTGTGTTTGCATGATGTATGCTTTTCCATTCTTTGATTATTTAATATTTTTCCTTCTGTTAGCTTGGTAGTTATACACTTTTTTAATTATGCTTTTCTTAAATCAGAAATTACAACATAATATTCTTCACCTATCAAGTCTGCTTCTATAGCTTCATGGACAGTGCAGGGAACTTAGAGCACTTTAATAGCTTCATTTACCCTTCTCCAGACTTACATTCTGTTGTTGTAATGTATCTTAACTCATGTGTTTAATTCTTCATGGGATATTAATGTTACTATTTTATATAGTCAGCATTCATGTAGATTTACCCACACATTTTCCATTTTCCTTGTTTTTATTCTTTTTTGTGCCCAAAAGCTTCCATCTAGAAATATTTACCTTTCCCAGTGGATTTTATTCATAGTAGGGCTACGAAGGAATTATTTCCTTCATTTTTCTTTATTTGAAAGTTGTTTTTTTTTTCCCTTTTTTGAGGACTGTTTTTGCAAGGTATAGAATTTTAGTTATTGGAAGCATCACTCAATTTTCCTCTGGCTTCCAGAGTTTTTATTGAGAAGCCAAACATCAGTTTTGTTTCTGCCGAAGTAATCTGACCTCTCAGTTTCTTTTCCTGGCTACTTAAAAACTTTTGGCTGGGCGCAGTGGCTCACACTTATAATCCCAGCACTTTGTGAGGCAGAGGTAGGTGGATCACAAGATTAGGAGATTGAGACCATCCTGACCAACATGGTGAAACCCCATCTCTACTAAAATATAAAATAATTAGCCGGGCATGGTGGCATGCGCCTGTAGTCCCAGCTGCTGAGGAAGCCAAGTCAGGAGAATCAGTTGAACCTGGCTGGTGGAGGAGGCTGTGAGCCAAGATCGTGCCACTGCACTACAGCCTGGGCAACTGAGCAAGACTCCCATCTCAAAAAAAAAAGAAATTATCTTGGTCCCCTCCCCCTCGCCCCAATACATGTACCCTGGTTTGCATAGGTATTGGGGGGCACTGTTTTGTTTTGTTTTTTTTTAATCTTCCTGGGAGTTTTTAAACCTCCTTGATCTGTGACCCTAGGTCTTTCGTCACTTTTGGAAAATGCTCAGCCATCATCTTGCTTCTGTGTACTCGCTCCTCTCAGACTCTACTTATTCAGATGTCACGTTCTCACTGTATCTCCTGTGGTTCTTACCCCTTCTCTCCCAGCTTTACCTTTTTTCCTCTCCATCCTTCATTCTGTATATTTTTTCAGAATAGTCTTTACTTTTCAAATTCTCTTCTTAGCTCTGTCAAATCTTTTATTAAGCCCACCTGTTGGCTTTTTAATTTCCATAATTGTATTTTTTAGTTCTAGATTTTTCATTTCATTCTTTTTCTTTCTTTGCTGAAATTGTTAGTCTTGTATTTTTCTCTCTGTGTATGGTGGGTCACTAAACTGGATCAATTCTGACCTGTATGATCTGTGAGCTAAGAATGATTTTTACAATTTTAAGGAGTTGTTAAAAAGGAAGAAAAACACACACACAAAAGCATACAGTAGAGACTGTATGTGGCCTGCAAAACCTAAAATATATACTCTTCGGCCCTTAACGAAAATATTTGCCAACCCCCGGTATATGTTAAACACAGTTATTGTAGAGACTGTGTCTGACAACCTTATTATTTGAAACTTCATTAGTTTCTGGAGTTTATTATTCCTGTACTTCTCATCAGTGTCATCCTGTATCATTATATATGCGTGATTTCTTGGACTGAGTGGTGGATGTTGTATATGTAAAAAAAAAGTTTTTTTAATTGAGACCTAGGAGACTTTCTTCCTATAGTGAAGATTGTGTTTGCTTCCAACAGTTGACTGGAAACATTAGTAATCCTGTAAACCTTATTTTAGCATCAGGCATTGAGTTGATTCTAAAATTAGCATCACTTTATTTTTGGGTGACATTTACTCTAGAGTCTAATTTATTCTCCAGAGTCCCAATCCAAAGATGGCCCTTCCATCCTAGGCCTTGGAATTTAACCTCTATCCCTTTAGCCAGTGGCTGTCACACGTACTTCTTGACCTTTTAGCCTTTTCTTTAGGAATCAGAAAATATTCTTAGGAGAAAAAGTAACCTCAGAGGCCAGATATTTTGTGTATATATGTATGTATGCATTTCAGGTTTTCTGTTTATCTTAGGATTCATCTGTCATCTAACACACTATAATCAAGAGGGGAAGTTTGTGATATACTTTACGTGTAATTTTTATAATTACAGTAACTCCTCTTGAGATAATATAATTCAGACGCAGTCATTTCCTCAGAATACATTTAATTTACACTATACGTGTGTTTCTTTCATGTTTTTCAGTAGTAAAGCAGTGAGAAACCCTGTTTTAAAAATTAAATTGATTTTCTTAATAGCCCTTAATAGCAAGTTGCAGAGAAATCATTTGGAAAATATATAAGCATACCTCTTAGTAAAATGTTTACTACTCTGGAGTGCAGTGGTTTGTTTATTGCCTTAATTCCTGTAGCTTTTATTTTGTGAGATATCTGTTTTGTGATATGAAATATATTGTACAGCCTGCATACCTGATAAAGAGTATGACCATATTAAAGATGAATTGGTGGAGTCATTTACTTATTGTGTTTCTTGTGTCCCTGCACCTAGTGCAGACATTCATTAAATCATTCTGATTACTAAGAAATCTCTCAGGGGCCAACTGTAAGCTAATTCAATATTAAGTAAAGATGCTCACAAAAATTTTGGAATATTGAATGTAATCAGTTTGTTACTCGTCTTAAGTCTTGCTGCCAGTAGCTGAACTTAATTCCAAAATATTGCTGTTTTATTCTGGTATTCGTAACCATTTTTTATTAGTGAGGAGAGAGAGAGAGAGAATGTGTGTGTGTATGTGTGTTTAAAAGATAACATTTCTACACTTTATGATGGAAGGTTCTGATATTTTAACTTGGGAGAATAGGAGGACCAAGTTTTTCCTCTGAAATATTAATGATGACAGTCTCTTTTGAAAACTGTTCAGTGAGCTCACTGTTTGTAGGATATCCTAATAGTTTCGGAGAATGCTATATGGTTCTTATCATTTCAAAATATCTTTTTGCTAAAAGTGGAGAAATTGGGTTAGAAATGAGATTGCACAGTAATATACACAAAAATCTGTTGAAGTTAACGTGTCAACGCTTAAAAAAATAAAGCTTGACATTTAGAATAACTTAAATTATTTTTTTTTCTTCAGCTTCCAGCTGATCTTACCAAGATGCATCTCACAGACAACCCTCATCCACAGGTGACCCATGTGTCTTCTAGTCAGTCTGGTTGTAGCATTGCCAGTGACTCTGGAAGCAGCAGTTTATCTGATATCTATCAGGTAATACTTTAGGAGTTTGTGTGCTGTGCATATGGTTTTTTAATTCTACCAGATATTCTGTGCTTATGCCTTAGATGGTTAACATATCTTTCAGAGTATGACATTCAAGCATAAGGTCTTTGGAAAAATACTGTGTCAAATTTGTAAGCCTGATTAAAGAAGTGATCTGTCTTTTGAGAATGATTAGGTATAGTTCAGCAGAGTATGAATCTGGTGTTCTCTTTAATTTATCCAGGTGAATCCATATTAATATCTAATGCTTGTTTCGGTTAAAAAATTAGTTCTTGGAATAACTGAACTTAAACTTATAAAAAGGGTGATTTTTGTTATAATTGACTATATATGTCGTCTATATTTAGAAGTCATGAGGAAAATTAGAGCTGCTTTTCTACTATGAAGCCTCTATTGTCTATTGTAGTGTAGCATGAAATAAATAACAAATTAGAATATTTATTTACTTTTCCATTGTCGAAAACCTGAAAGGAACAATTTCAAATTTACTGAGTGATCCTTGTAATAGTGGGGAGAAGGTTCTAGGAAGACCCATAAGCTGAGAGAAACCTCACATGATCCTGCTGAGATTGAACCTAAGTTAGGTTCAAGCCAGAGCAGTAAGTATTTCAGGATCCAGATAGTGTATTTAATATTTTAACATTATGAATGAGTTCTCTTGCATTCATTTTTTATACTAAGTCATCAAAAACCAGAATTTAAAGTTACGGCACATCTCAATTCGCTCTAGCCATGTTTTAGGTGCCTAATAACCACATGTGGCTAGTGGCTACCATATACTAAGATTTGTAGAAATAGTATCATTGTTGTCTGAGGAAAGCATTTTAGACTGGTTCTACAGCATTACCCAGATTGAGATATTTTAGGAAAATCAGCCTTATTCTATTAAGGGAAGTTTGTAGGCAGATGCAAGATGGAACGAAGACAACACCCATTTTTTTGGTTTATATATTACTTTTTTCAACAAAGGTTATTGCTGTGGCCATCTATATCTCCCTTTTTGCTTTTTATAGTATACAGAACAAGGAATTTTTCCCTGTTCTTCATTTTACAGTAGACGAAACAAAGAATTAAGAGAGATTAAACAAGTTAAAAACAATACAATGGCTCTGGGACCACTTAGTGGTTGTGTTCCTGTTGGGCTTCATGCATTCTGCCCCTCCTCAAAAGAAATATCTTGTGAAAGAAAATTACACACCTAAAAATCAAAGTAGAGCTGTGGCTTCTCTAGACTCGTGTTTTTCCAGAGGAAAACCCTGAGGAGGATTGACCCTGGATCAGTGAAGTTCAGGGATGTGGGTATAGATTTCTCTCAGGATATATGAGAATATCTGGACTTTAAAGGTTTGGTGTTGAAAAACCATAGGAACCTGGTATCACTGGGATATCCACATCTGTAAGTAAGGATAGTGCACAGATTAAGATTCCAGGTCACTTGGAAAGACCAATGCTTTATTGTCTACTAGAGATGGGCTGTAGACAGTTGGTCCCTCCATCTTTGCAAAGATGGTGCAGGAGTTCTGTAGCATTGCACTTGTATTAGCACCTGCAGATTACTCGCCTTTTAGCTGGACAACCTGAGGATGGGACTGGAGTACACCTACTGGTGTTGGTTGGAGGTATTCTATTGCAGGACCATGGCATAGCCTATATAAATATGTAGAATAGTTCCATCACCTCAGAAAGTACCCATAGGACCCTTGGCTGTCAAGATCCCTTCTCCTAACCCTATCCTGTGCCCTGGCAACCAGCAGTCTCTTTTCTGCCCTTACAGTTTTGGCTTTTCCAGAAGGTCATATAAATGGAATCATATAGTTAAAAAAAAAATGATGCAGTGAAGCTTATGAATTAACCAATAAAAGTGCTAATGAATTTAGAGAGAGTAAACAGATAAAAGGAACAAAATTATTAAAACTCTAGAACCAAAATAGGAACTTAGAAATTTACAGGAGAAAATTGTAATAATGTTAACATCAAATATATAAAACCTAAGATAAAATTTAAGAGTAGTCAAAGAAGATAAGAAGATTTTCAAACTCCAACTTAACAGTTAACTTTTAGGACAATAGCCCAAAAATAGAAATAGCGTAAGCTCTAAAACAAAAATAAGTCCATAAAGATAAACTGTTGAGAACCAGCCCAACCCTATTCGTGGGTGCCCTGTGTCTGGCAGTGACAAGGGAGTGAGAAAAGAAATAGGGACAAAGACACAAGAATAGAATTTTACAGCATAGGTCCAGGGGTCCAGCACACTCTAGCGGGGTTGATCCGAGTTGGCATTGAGCTCTCGGCTTCTTGCGCTTTTATTGGGTGCATTATCCTGTTGATCCTGCAGGCTGTGGGGAGGGGGGTTGAAGAGGAAGATAGCTGGAGGAAGAGCATGTGTCTGTAGCATTCAGTAGCAATGTGGTTCTCCTAAGAAATACCAACTAAGGACACTGAGATTTTACCACCCATTGTGCATCCAGGTGTTTCGGCAAGAGAGGTGCAGTGGACACAGAGCAATCAGAATTGCTCCATTTTTTGAGAACATAGGCAGAGCCTGTGGCGTTCGGTGATCTCTGCCCTGTGTAGACCTTCTAGCCTTACCAGCTCCCATCTGCAAAGACCCTCCCAAGTCTTGTGAGCAGAGGTTGCATTACTTGCCAGTCTTTTGCATAAGCTCCCTTTAGGAGATCTTCACACAAACTCCATGGTGGGAAGATTTGTGGGACCAAAGCAGTTTTTTCTGCTCTGTAACCACACCGCAGTGTTCTGCAGTTATAGGGCGCTCTCCGATGGTCTTTACCATCGGAGTGTATGTACACATCGGTGTATGTACACATATGTTTCTAATCACATGCTCAGGAATAAAACAAGGAAAAGAAATATCAGTATTGGACCCTGGGTCTTTCCTTTCACCTTAGGCTACCTTTAGATTCTGTGTTGGAGCTATAAATATACCTCTTAGTTACAGGTGTATATTGCCGAGGTATACATCTTGGCCAGGAATAGCTGAAATGATTTGTCTAATTATTTGAATTTTAGCATATGAGATCTTTTTAAAGTGAATACCCAGCCTTTAAAACCATAAGCAAAGCCTTGTGATATAAGTATTTTTAATTTGGAGAGTTGAGGGGAAGAGATGAGAAGGATAGCCTAATAGCAATTTCACGTGCATGTATGTTTCTGCTTTTCTTCTTAGAGAAATTTGGAAACTTTTCAAGTAAAATCCAGCTTTTTTTGTGGGGTAGAAGACTATAAATTAATTTGGGCATTTTTTTTCTAATGTGGAGTCTTCTTGTCCAGAAAAATGAATGTCTCCCCAATTTTTAAAAATAATTTCAAATTTTATTTTAGATTCAGGGGGTACATGTACAGATTTGTAACATAGGTATATTGTGTGATGCTGAGGTTTGGGGCTTGAATGAGCCAGTCACCTGGGTTGGTAGTTTTTCAGCCCTCACCCCTCTCTCCCTGCTCTAATAGACCCCAGTGTCTCTTGCTCCCATCTTCATGTCCGTATATACCTGATTGTTAGTGCCCCATTATAAATAAGAACATGCGGGATTTGGTTTTCCTGATAGCAGTTCTTAACAGGAAAACTATTTACACTGTTTTGTGTGGCCAAATGTGTGACTACATGTCTATGCATTCCTTTCCTGAGAATTTTCATGTCTTCTGGTCTAAAAATAAAAGCCCTTGGCTCTTAAAGAAACTTCAAAATACAGTATTTACCACAGTGTAGGGGGGAAAAGCAAGTTAATGGTTCCAGTGTAAATGTGTTTCTAATCAGTATAGATTAAAATTTTAAAGTATATGATAAGGTATTAGAATGTTCTTAGAATGTTTTATGCATCTTCAAAGAGTACTCAAGAGTATAAGGAGTACTTTTTAGATTCCTTTTTCTATTTATTTCAGTCTCTTCCATGAGCTGGAAAACTGTGAAGTATTGATTCTTGAACAAAAGCACTTGTCTGTTCATTAACTCATCCTTAAACAACTCAAGGCACACATTTATCTTCCACCTATCTTTTCAGTTTCTACATAAGGAGTAAGTGTTTTCTTAAAAACCCCAGGGGTTCAGTTACCACCTCTATGGTAATATGATTTCCTAATGCACAGCTCTGAGTGCCAATTTCTTCAGAACCCTGGTGCTACATTTTCACCAGTATGTTCTTTTGTCATCCCAAGTCACCACATGTTCTCTTCCACCTTTCTTTAATATTTCTGTAAAGAATATCATCTGAGGTTGAGGTGGATCACTTGAGGTCAGGAATTTGAGACCAGTCTAGCCAACATGGCAAAACGCCCATCTCTACTAAAAGTACAGAAAAAAATTGGCCGCGAGCAGTGACGCATGCACCAGGTACTCAGGAGGCTGAGGCAAGAGAATCACTCAAACCCAGGAGGCAGAGGTTGCAGTGAACCGAGATGGCTCCACTGCATTCCAGCCTGGGCGACAGAGAGAGACTCCATCTCGGGGAAAAAAAAGGAATATCATCTAAGTCCTAGTCAGAATTCAAAATCTATTACCATTTTTAAACCCCCACTTGAAATAAATTGCTCTGACTTTAATTATTCCTGTATTTAAAGAGCCTTAATGCCTCATTGTTATCTAATTTACACTCCATTTTAAACTCCAAGCCTTTTACTTTTAACTACAATGTGGTTTTATATTTTACTGTTCCCCAACTTAAACATTCTAGATTCTGCCTCATGACATATGTATGTTATTCCCTGAACATGTCTGCCTTTTCCTAGCCTTGTGTTTTAATCATGCTCTTCTACCTGTAGCTTCACGTAGATAACATTTTCATATTGTCTCCCATGTTTTTCCAGCAAGAAGAAATGTCTCCTTCCTTGGAATCCTGCAGCAGGTTTTCTCTTGGACATGTCACTTTTTCTCTCTGCTTTTTTTGGTGGTTGCTTGTAAACTTAACATTTTCAATCATCATAGTAAATTTATGGAGTGCAGAGTTGACTTGTATCCCATACTGAGTCAGGCA